ATTAAGGACTGTAAGTATAAGGGTGAACATCCCAACTCTAAACCCCAAAATCCTGCAAACCCTGTAAAAACCCTCAAGGGGGAATCTCCCAATCCTAACCCTAACCCTAAACCCTAAACCCTAAACCCTAAACCCTAAACCCTGAACCCTGAACCCTGAACCCTAAACCTAACCCGCTGAACTTTCGAGCACGGACCAAGAGCCCCAGACCAGGCGCGCCCTTGGAGGATGCAAGGCGCTCCTGTAATGGTAGTGTTCAGGGATTCGGGTTTGTAGGGTTTAGGGTTTAGGGTTTAGGGTTTCGGATTTAGGGTTTAGGGTTGAGGGTTTAGGGTTTAGGGTGACGGAATGAGGGTTTGTAGGCATTTTTTGCCACCCGCCGAGGTTGACACTGCACATCGCAACGTACTGTACCGCACTCCTAGCCTCCACTCTCCCACAGCCCCTAAACCCTAAACCCTAAACCCTAAACCCTGAACCCATAAACCCTTAACCCAGAAACCCTTAAACCCGAAACCCTAAACCCTACCACCACGCCCTCCTCTCATCGCCCTCCTCCACCCGCGCTCCTCTCCATCCTTTCGCGCCGAAAGCCCATTTTCGCACAAACCCCCTTGAACTCTGAAGCAAGGGTTTAGGGTTTAGGGTTTAGGGTTCAGGGTCAAGCCCCTGAACCCCCGAAGTCGATAAAACCCGTATCAGCCCCCATCATCACCAAAACCCTATATACACCAATACCCTGTGAGCCCCCCCCGGCCCCCCCCCCCCCCCCCCAAAAAAAAAAAGACACCGAGGAGCCTCAACCCCAAAAGTCTGTAAGGAGTGCAAAGCGTTTTAGATAATCAGGTACTCTAGCATCAAGATCAAATTCTCGGCAACAGAGGTCATTCAGTGGGGGTTTCTTCTTGACTTGGAATCAACAACTAAGCCTAAGGAAACCCTTTCTCCTAAACGCTAAACCCTTTTGGGCAACGGACTTTGAGGCTCCCAGCAAACATGCAACTTCTCAGAAGCCCTAAACCCTAAACCCTAAACCCGAAACCCTACACCCTAAACCCTAAACCCTAAATCCTAAAGACCCCCAAAAGGAAGGAAATTCTCTTTGAGCTGTGGCGGCGGCCTCTGACACGCAGAGCATGGACTTCAGCGGCCTCCTCCAGCTATCGGCTCGGTGCTCTCTTAGGGCGAGGAGCTGTTGATTCTGTAGGGTTTAGGGTTTAGGGTTTATGGTTTAGGGTTTAAGGTTTAGGGTTAGGGCTTAGGGTTTATAGGGTTTACTATAGGGGTCGGCCAAATTACAAAAAACGATTCCCTTATGGTCCATTTATAATTATACGAGAACAACCTCCCTCAAAACCCTATTCCACACATTTAAGGCCCCTATATTCGAGGAGCTGCATGTGTGTTTAGGGGAGTTTTTTTATGGTGCTTCGGGAGCTTCGGGGTGTGTAGGAGCTCACGAACCCTAAGCCCTAAACCCAAACCCTAAACCCTAAACCCTAAACCCTGAACCCTAAACCCTAAACCCTAAACCCTAAACCCTAAACCCTAAACCCTGAACCCAAACCCTAAGCCCTAAACCCTAAACCCTAAACCCGAAACCCTAAACTGCGCGTGTGTTGTTACGGTCTCGAAGTAGTCCAGGAAGGAAGGTTGCAAGTACTTTTGATGAACCTTTGCTGCCGAAGCCCCCTATACGGCACGGAAATCTGCCCAATCCCCCGGAGATCCTGAACCCACACCCTAAACCCGCCCTAATCCCCCACAGAACCAGAAGCCCGGCCTCTTGCCAGCGTCCTCCACAAGGAAAGAGTCGAACAGTCGCCGGAAAGAAGCCTCGTGGGGCGCAGGCATGTGCGAGCTTGTGGGAAGTACCGGGGACTGCCAACTCCTGGGTGCCGTAGGATATTGCACTCACCGGGAGGCGGGGGGGGGGGGGGGGGCTTGTTCTCAATTTTGGGCTGGCACCAGGAAGCTACAAGGAATCTGCTATCACAACAACCCACATAGGCCCCAATGAATCGAATCATCCCGCCATGCTAGTCCAGCTGGGCCCGGATTCTTTCCTGAGGTCCACGCAAAGTCTCTTTCGAGCAAGGTCTCATCATCAACGACCTGGGTGCCCGCAACCCTAAACCCGAACCCAGACTCGGACAAGCTGACCCTAAACCCCAAACTTCAAACCCTAAACCCTAAACCCTAAGCCCGAACCCTTCTTGTACGGACTTAGGGATTGAAATGCCAAGAAGCACGCACCGTAGTAGAAAGAAGCGTTAGTGGAGTTATAAGTAGGGTAATATACTCATCACTGGTTATAGCTTTCTTTAGGGCACTTATCACCCTACTTACCTTCAAGTAGGTCTTGGCAGCATCAAGACCAGATCCTTGATGTCTCAAGCATGCAAACACCCAACTAGCAGAACACCCAAAAACTCCGCTCAGCCCAGCGCGACATGGACCTTCTTGCGCAGGGCCACGACCACGTAGATGGCCAAAGCCTCAGCTTAAGGGTATAAGGAGGGACCCCTAGAAGGGACCCTTATTCCGCTCTACAACCCCTTCATAACCCTTCTATGGACCTTATATAGTTCTAAGTAGCCCCCAAATAACCCCCAAGCTCCCTTATCTTTAGTCCCTTGATCAGCACATTGAGAGGTACCGGTCTTAGGGTCTCTGCCATCTTCCCCCGAAAAAAGAGAAGGCCCTGCTCCTAAATCATATTTAGATCCCCCCATGGGGCCTATACCCCCTTCTGTAGTTCAAGAGGAAGTGTAGAGGTTCGTAGAGTTGAGGGTTTGGGGACAGACAGACACAAAACCCTCTTGATGCCCTCTGTCTTGACGGCCTGCATAGCCAGGGTCATGAGGAGTTAGCTGCGTGGGGTAAAGAGGACCACTGTCAGTTTTACGCGGGGACAACACTTCTCAGCCCTAAACCCTAAACCCTGAACCCTAAGCCCGACAAACCCCAAACCTTATAAACCCCAAATCCTAATCAGTGCCGAAAAAGAAGGGGTGGGGGGGGGGGTGGGGGGTGGGGGGGGGGGGGTTGGGGGGGGGGGGGGGGGGGGGGGGGGGGTGTGCCTTGGACGCTTAACGTCTATTCTGCGCGTGCTCTTTGTTTTCTTGGATTCTTCCCTTCTGAAATTGGGTTCTCGTTTGAGGCGTTCTATCGGATCGCTTCTTGGAGGAGTGTTGACGTGAGGCCGCGGGGACGACACGGTCAAGGGAGGGGGTTCGGAACATTTTGCTGGGAGAGGGGCGTGGCGGGGAGCGTGACATTCGGTTGATGGGCAGGGGAGTGGGGACACGTGGATGCTCCTCTGTGCCCTCCACGTTTGCAAGCCCTCCGCGCCCTCCGCCCCTCCGCGACCTCCGCGCCCTCCGCGACATCCGCGGCCTCCGCGCCCTCTGTGCGCCCTGTGCGCCCTGTGCGCCCTCCGCGCCCTCGTCCAGGACACAGTGTGCTGATGCTAAGGGTGCATTGCGTCTTTTCTGCGGGTGCATTGCGTCTATTCTGCGGGTGTTTCCTTTGTAAAGTATTTGTTTACAAGGCACGCACGTGCAGCATAGCCTTTAAGTGTCCATCTTACGGGGGGGGGAGTGGGGGGGGGGGGGGGGAGTGGGGGGGGGGGGGAGTGGGGGTGGGGGGGGGGGGGGGGGGGGGGGGAGGGGGGGGGGTGGGTGGGGGGGGGGGGGGGGGGGGAGGGGGGGGGGGAAGTGATGGCGGCTTCCCCAAGCCAATCGCTACATAATTCTGTAGTTCAGCGCACGTCGAACCTAGTGTCAAGTTCTTAAGGGGGTGGGGTTACTGTGTAAAGAAGGTATTCTCGGAATTTAAGACTCAATGCTGTAAGAGCCTGACTGCACAGACTTCCGAGCTGAATCTAGACTGGGCAGCTGGCTGGCAAAGCACACTCCCGATTCGCTGAGGGTTTAGAAGTCAACACCCTAAACCCAAAACCCTAAACCCTAAACCCACTCTCTTCGTCTGTTTTTTTCCCATTCGGCGCTCGGCATCTGGAATCTGCTAGGCTCCGAGCCGCAACGATCATTGACTTGCCCTCGCCGGTGCCAACCTTCGCGGGGATGAGTGAGGGTTTGGAGTTTGGAGTTTGGAGTTTGGGGTTTGGGGTTTAGGGTTTAGGGTTTCGGGTTTAGGGTTTGGTCTATCAGAGCTTGGGGGGTGCAGGTTTGGATGTTCCCCCTGTTATACTAACAGTCCCACATACGGGTCATCGTACCCCCCCTACTGTAATCCCTCCACGAACGGCTGTTAGCATAAGGGGGAGCATCCCAAGGCGCAGGCTTTAAGGACTCTAGGATGCAGGGCTTCAGGGGATCGGACGTTTCAAGCTAGGAGCACACGCGGAGCTGCAGGACATTCCGAAGGTATGCATGGGTTGTTTAGGCGCGCTTGCTGTCACTTCAGACGGATCCTAGTCGTTGAAACTGCAACAGCTGGATGGCCCTTCTGTGCACAGGTCCGCTTGAAAAAGGGAGTAGGGTTCATCAGACCTGAGCGAGTTTCACAAACGATGAGCTCTTGGAGTTAATTTAGAAGAACAGCATGTTCTCGAGGACTCAGCTTTGCAGACGTCCGCTGGATCTTTCTTTTTTGGAGAGAGAGAGAGAGAGATCTATATTTTATGGAGAGAGAGAGAGAACGAGAGAGGAAGAGAGATAGAGGAAGAGAGATAGATAAGGGGCTTCGTGCCTTCTGCGCATGGAACAAAGTGGGCTTGTGCTGTAATAGTGAGTCGCCCTAAGCTCTTCCAACGGCTCATCATGTACTGGTGTGCCAAAGCCCTCCTTTTCCGGCTCCTGGCATGCACCACTGTCCCCACAACCAACGACAAAGGAACGGTGTGCAGTTGCCATGCCAGTTCCTGCGGCAAAGCGGCAGCCCGCAGCATGAAGTATGAGCGACTGCTCAGGCAGCTTCTCCAAGCCGCAGCACTCACTCAGAACCCCCCAGGAAAGCTGTATTTACAGCGGGGCCTAGTCGGACGTGGGCTGAATTTCTCTGCACCTGCTTTCAAACATCTTCCAAGCTTCCGCTTCCATGGCAGGCTCGAGCTCCTTACGCACCGCCGCCTCCTCAGGCAAAACGCAATACGGATGTGCAGTAAACCTCAGTTGCCAGGCAACCGAGGCAGCATCCACGAATGCCCTCAACACATCACAGCCCTGATGTCAGCAAAAACGCCCGTTTGCAAGATTCAGTCGTGCCAATCTTCGTCATAGTCACCACACGACCCCCGGATGGGAGTTCCCCCACCCTTTTTGCCAGAACAATTTTGTGAGTTTTGACCCCTAAACCCTAAACCCCAGACCCTGAAATAAGAACTGGGTTGGAGGGTTGGGGGGGGGCCGAGAGGTGGAGGGTCCGACGCCATTGGCAAAAAAAAAACGTGGCTTTTGAAAAAAAGCCGTGGCCATTGGCAAAAAAAAACAAACTTGCCTGTGGCCACAGGTTTTTTGCCAATGGCCACGGTCCCCATGAAGGCTGGTGGTCGACATGTGTTTATTTCGTTCCAAAATCGCACCAAATCTACCCCAACCTTAATGGGGGCCATGGCCATTGGCAACTTTGCCAATGGCCACGGCTTTTTGGCCAAGTGGCAAACAACCCGTGGCGATTGGCAAAAACCGTGACCATTGGCAAAAAAACCGTTTGCCAATGGCCACGGTTTTTTTGCCAATGGCGACGGTTTTTTGTGCCAACGGCCACGGCTTTTGGCCACCCCCCCCAACCCCTACCCAATAACTCCCCTCCCACCGGTCGCATGGTGGAAGTCCGCACTATTCCGGGGAAAAACCTTGTCAACAGGGGTGGACCGGGGGAGGGGGGGGGGGGGGGGGGCACTGAGCTAAATAAAACTTTCAAACTCCGCAGTATAGCGGCAACGTTTCAGAATCGGGCTCAACAATATACACTTCCTGGTGACAAGGTACTTGAAGGTTCATGTATAAGTAACGCGCGTCATAAGTGCCCCAATTAAATAAGGTTGTAGCCAGGTACCCTACTTCTAACCCCAATCATAACTACCCATGAACCTCCAAGTAGGGCACGGTGGAATGCAACATGTGCTCTGCATGAAGCCGGCTTGGACGCCGTCCAAGAAGCCTACACGCCGAGCACTCATAGCGCCACATCCCTGTTTCGCAGTCGCCTAAGATGGCGCTTTAAAATCCTCTGCAACACATGCCTACATGTGATCCTCTTACGCCCTAAACCCTAAACCCTCTGAATGTTTTCCTAAAGATCATCCTCTTTAACCCAAGTAAGAGAAGATACAAAATATCCCAAGGGCCTACCCAGATTCCCGTGGCGAAGCAGTCGAAGTTTGGGCGAACGTTGTTGTTCCAACAGATATTACAGCCGTATTCCTCAGTCGCCGGGGCATCGGGTTTGCTTTCAGACTTCTCGGATAGAAAGTGCATGAAAGACCCTGCGAAAAAGATCCCTACAGCAAATTGCACGTGGCACTAAGGTTCTGTTTCGATCGTAGGGATGTGTGTGACGCACCGTCACCATTCCAGAAACTTTGCTGAACAATCGCATCTTGCACTGTGCTCTAAACCCTATAAACCCTAAACCCCAAACCCTGGACCCTGAACCCCACACCGAGGCCCACAGCAACCATCAGCCCAGGCAAGATTCCCAAAAGTCCCACTGGGGAGGCATAGTCATCAGCCTTGCAAGCTTTTGCCAACGTATGATGCATGTGTGTGACGACTGGGCGAACGGGTTTAGGGTTTGGGGTTTAGGGGGTACTACGCTACGTGGGCCAAACAAACAGTGTCCTTCTTGAAGCTAACCACAGCAGCATGTCACGCCCGCGAGTGACTGAAACCACAACCCACAACCCTAAACCCTGAACCTTAAACCCTCAACCCTATAATCCTTAAACCCGGTGCCGCAACTCATGACGGGGCCGCTTCAGCGGATGCTCATGGCTGGGGTGCTCGAGCGTCTCTGGATGTTGGCTCTTCCTTGTCGCGGTGGCTGGCCAACCCTAAACCCTAAACCCTACGAGCACAACCCTTCTATTCTAAACGGACCGAGGCCGTAACTTGACTGGTTTGGATTCCAAGACTCGTGTGGTCTTCTCATCAGCGTGAAGTTTGATCATGCTTGCCCGCCCCGCCCGAGACATGTGGGGTTTACGCAAACAGGGTGCCCCCTAATAGAGTCCCCCAAGCAGTACCCCCGAAATTTTCGGAAACCCCCATCTGCTTTTATTGGGGTGTATGAGTTTCAACCCTAAACCCTCATCCCAAAACCGGATTTGGCTTTGGGGCTCGGTATAGAACTCCCATTTGGTTCGCCTACAGGCTTCAAAGGGGGGCATCTCTTCGGTTCGAGTTCTGTGGGGTTTAGGTTTAGGGTTTAGGGCTTAGGGTTTGGGTTGTTTGAAAATTGTTTCGTCCCTGCCCCGTGGCCTGGTCACCCAGATTTGTGGAAGTTCAGATGCGTTACAGATTACAGCTTAAAAACAAAAAGGACCATGGATGAGTGGAACAAGTAATTCAGGGGCCTTGAGGTGAGTGTCATATCGCAGGCGTGTTTACGCGCGCTAAGTCAACGAAGAAGATGAAGAAGTTCTTGCAGCCTTCATGAAGGGGAGCCAAGAGCTGTTGCTGCTGAGCGCCTCGTCACTTCTCAACGACTTGAAATTCTAAGTTTTCGCCCACCTACAACGTACCAAGAAAAAGCAGAGAAAGTGATCGTACTAACCCCACGTCTGCATGATCAGCATCTTGGCACCGACAAGCGTATGCCCGAAATCCTAGTCCCTACACTTGGGATGTCCCCCCCTTATACAGTTCGTAATGGGGATTTAACAGGGGGTACTTTAGTTTAACTATAATCCCTATTACGGACTGTTAGTATAGGGGCGAACATCCCAACCCCACCTAAACCCGAGGGGTTGATAGAGTTGAGGCTGGGGCCTTTGGTTTGCCAGAGAGCATCTTCCGTTCTTGGAAACTCCAGCGAGGAGGGGGGGGGGGGGGGGGGGGGGGGGGGCGCTTTTCGGAAGGCTCTCACCTTTCGATCAAATTGTCCCCTTCCCCCCCTCCCCCCCCCCCCCTCCCCTCTCCCCCCCCCTCCCCCCCCAAACCCTAAGCCCTAAACCCTAAACCCTAAACACCAAACCCCTAAACCCTATAAACAAACAAATAAAAGAACTGGACCCCTGGAGGCCGGGAACCTCTAACCACCTCTCAACCTCAAACCGCCCACCCTTACAAGGAGGGGCCCCCTTACTATACTAACTGGAGTTAAGGGACTTAGAAGTATAACCCTAATTTAGGATCCTTCTAACCCAATTTAGGGATCTTATAACTCTACTTATATCTAGGGGGGCCCCTCCTTGTACCTTCGACCTCAATTGTCTCCTCTGAGTTCTTACGGCTCTTTGGAATAAGGAGAAGCCCTGGAAAGCCTGGCCAAGAAGACCCTCGACCTTGGGATGTTCCCCCGTATGAGGGTAATAGGGTTTAGGGTTCAGGGTTTAGGGTTGAGGGGGATGAGGGGGGGGGGGTACTATTAACCCTATTACGGAGGTGTTAGTACAATGGGTGAACATCCCAACCTACACCCCACGTGATGTCGACAAAGGCTCCTGCAACCCAACTCCTCGTTGGCCTGCCAGGCTCCGACTTGCGAAGGCTCGCGCGAGATGATGGGCTTTGAGTATATATAGGGGCCTGAAGAATTGGAATACGGTGTTGGGGGGGGGGGGGTATTATAGGTCATTCTTCCGACCCTTAGAATAGTGTACTAATTGGGGAGGAACTCTTTTCATGCTCCACAACACCGGAGCCCACTTGTAGTGTTGCGGCACCCCGCACACCCAACTTCCGAATCGGAACGAAGATCGGAGATAGCACGGTGTGTCCAAGCGACTTTCACGCACACCTTCGACCCTCCTCCTGGCCCAACTCCACAAACCCATGTCCCCTGCTCAACTCAATTCCAGTCCTTCTTCTGCACAAAGTTTCTGAACTGGGTGTTGTCCCGCCTTCTCTCAGTTGATCGAAACTTCGGGCGCAAACTGCACATTGCAACAATAAAGTTCGGGAAATCCATGCCGCACAGCCGGCTTGCAGAAAACGGCCAGAACCCCTGTTTTGGACAACGAGGGCATGTGAAGGATTCTCATGAATACTTGTGAGAAGGAAAAACGCCCGTTGAGTTAGGGAGCTGGATTCTGAACGGCACAGTGGTAATGTAGGGACAGACTAGAAAAGTGAACTACGACGATCTGTGGAATCAACTGCCGCCAAGGAACAACCATCTCTTGTATTCGACCACCCGGCCTTCTTCATTGATCCGGACGTCCTCCATGAGTGCTCGTGTAATTTATGCTGAATAAATCGAACCCTCTCTCATCAGCCTTAACTGCAGCTCTAAACCAAAGCCCCCCGGTAAGCTACTCTTTGCTTTATTAAGAACCCCTAAAACATTTAAAAAATATAATCCCTCATTGCCCTTTGAAGGGAAGAATGCATTCTATCTTTTGCCGGGTTCTTAAGCAAACAGTAGTTTAAGGGAACCCCTAAACCTTAAACCCTAAACTTTTAAACCCTCAAACCCCAAACCCTAAACCCCAAACCCCAAGCCCGAAACGCTAAACCCGGAAACCCTAAACCCTAAACCCTCAAACAGTAGTAAGGTTCCTTGGGAATGTCGCAGTTCTGCCAAAGCCATCCGTCTCCCAACCAGCGCACGTCTCCATCCCACCTGTCACGGTCTGCCTCCGGTTTAGGGTTTCTAGGGTTTAGGGTTTAGGGTTTAGGGTTTAGGGTTTAGGGTTTAGGGTTTAGGATTTGTGCGCAACCCAATTTCCTTGATCCCTCTTGCTCTCCGAAATCAATCGTTCCGGGGGTGTACGATATTAAGGGTATCTTATTGGGGAGATCCTACTCTTTGGGGGTCTATCTCAGGGGTCCCTTAGTATCGTAAAACCCCTATCTGCCAATGAACATGAAAAACCAAACCGACCAGTCCACTGAAGAGCTCAGAAACAACGAGCCAAACCCTTACATCAATCCGTGGGTAGAAGGGTGTATGGTTCATATACCTGAATAGGGATTATAGTAATTATAGTAGTAGAGGGTATACAAGGAGGGGCCCCCTTACTGTAAGCCCTTACTATACTAACTGTAGCTAAGGGACTTATAACCTAGGATCCTTAAAACCCAATTTAGGGATCTTATAACTCTACTTATAACTAGGGGGGCCCCTCCTTGTAGGACTCTAGTTTTAGGGTTCATTTGATCCCCAAGGATTACTACTCCGAGCTATAAGATCGCCCCCGGGACTTCTACAAGCTTCTTGCGCAGGCGCGCCTCGTGATGGTGTTCTGGCACCAGCGATCTACCATATTCACGTTGGGCCAACAGACGCTCCTCGTTAATGCTTGGCCACAATTGCGCAGCCTTGCGGATTTGGCTGCGGCTCTGTCGTAGATCTGCGGAAATTTGCAATCTGCGTACAAGGCGTTCTCCTCTGTAATCAGTTCGGACTAATGCTTTGTAAACTTTTTCATCATGTACACCGAAGACATTGCAGGATGTTGGGTACTCTGGGGTACCTTCGTCGTTGTCCAACAGCCAGAGCTCCTGCCTCATCGAGGAAACTTTGGTTGCTGACGACAAGTCTTCCGACAAGCGCATCAGCACGCCTCCCGTGTGAACAAACACTGCACCATGGGGACTTGGAATAAGCGGGCGCGAATATGTGAGGGCGCCGTCAAAGTTCTCGCACCTTGGAAACCAAAACATGAGCGCATCGGCCGCGCCATCTGCGCAACCTCGTCGTGATGGATCCCCAAGTGTCATGGTAGCTTGCCAGTCCTTAGTAGCCCAGTAACCATATTGTCCTAAGCGCACCCATTTTTGGGTGGGTCATTTTTATAAGCGAACCCATAACCCCCCCAAAAAATTGGGGTAAAGGGTACCACTGGGCTACCTAGAGTCAGATCCCGACTTCTGATACACCCGGACCGCGTGCTCGCCGACAAGCGTCAGCAGAACGGAGGATGACATGCTCGACCATGCAATGCTGCTCACGGTTTTGTCCTTTAACTCCCCTGGCAAAGGGAAGCAATCAACTTGGTGAGCTGATGGTCCACCTAAGCTCGATTTCCTTGCTTCAGACAGGTTTGGGTCTCAGGCTTCAGGCTTCAGACGCTTCGACCAGAATCTGCTTTGGCTGTTGATGAGATTCGATTTGCACGACACACATGGTATGCCACACATTCTTGCAGAAGCCGAGATGCCCCGCAGCTTTGCAAACACCACCTCGCGCCCAGACAGACCCACCTGGAAGGGGATTTGCCCTCAATTTCAGTCTTCGGTTTCGACTCTCACACTCAGTCTTCTCTCACACTCAGTCTTCGGGGTAGGGCTTCAAATCTAGGAGGGTGTCACCTCGCATTATGGTCAACTCACTAAGGCTAAGGTCCTTAAGAAGGCACCAAGCACACAGGTGAAGAAACCCTAAACCCTAAACCAGGCGCCTGAGCGAAGATTGCGAGGAGGTTTGCTCTGTCCAAGCACACCGCCTCGCAATTGCAACTGGGCTCCGACAAGCGCTGCCACTTGACGGTCGCAGGGCACAGCTCCTTGATTTAGGGTTTAGGGTTTAGTTAGGGTTTAGGGTTTAGGGTGTCTTCTTGGGGGGGGGGGGGTTGTGTTCATCTTATGGAAGTCTCGGGTACCTCTACTACTATCATGCACCTTCCTATGAAAGTTTGTGAACGACACACCCTCTTTAGGGTTCACTTCGTCCCCAAGGTATGAGTAGCAACTAGACTCCAGAATGTTAGGGCACGGGCTTCTGTGGGCTGAGACTACGAATTGCTTCAGAACACACCCAAAACATGAACATATTCTTCCTTGTAAGGGTAATATGGAGACAATTATTTTGTTTTATCTTTCTGGGGGCTCTTAAGTAAATAGTAGGAGAGCTTCAGAACATGTTATGTTGTGCATTTGCTTTTGCAACAAAATCATGAACAATCCGAAGAAGTTCTTGCAAGTACCTGGTATAAGTCGGAAGAAAAAAAGCCTGCCGACACATTGTATGGCAGCACTGTACGATGTTCCAAATAACATGCGTTTCGAACCCTAAACCCTAAACCCTAAACCCTAAACCCTGAACCCTGAACCCTAAACCCTAAACCCTAACCCGAAACCAGGCTTCCATGCTCGCGCTCGCATGAGGCTCTGGCTCAACACTTCAACCCAACCTGGCGTTTCTCAGCAAACTCTGGCTTCTGGAGTAAACCTAAACCAAAAAACGCTAAATCCCCAACCCTACGGTGTTTAAAGCTCCAATCAGGCATGTTCGGGCGTAGGGACTATGGCCTGCACATGTAAGCCCTGTAGGCTCCAATTTAATGCATTTTTTGTTGGGTTAGGTTTCTCTGGAAAGGGAGGGGGTGGGCTACAGTGTAGCAGGAGCCGTTGGGTAAGCCCTAAAGATGCTGAAGCAGAAGCCTCCCCGAAAGACACACCTGGAGCAGGCAAGACGCAAATGAGACCAAGCGCACCTTGCTTTTGCCGATGGAGACTCTCGCAACTGCGACGCCGAGGGATGGCAACGGAAAGCCCTTCCAGCGGTCTGGGTTTATGATTGAGGGGATTTTAGGGCTTTCTTCCTGAATGGCTGTGGGTGGTTCAGGGTCAGAGTTTTATCGGCGTAGGCGTGCAGCTTCACTTCCCCGTTCTCCTCCCCTCCTTCTAGCCCATCTCGTGCAGCGGCCTTGATGCGGGGCCCCGCCTGCAGAGCTTCAGCTGCGTGAATCTCCGCGTCGCGATGGAGTGGATGATCGTACTCCAGAGGCACCTTCTCAAGAGGGCCTACTTGGAGGTTCGTGCCACTTATAGCCCAATTCGAACTGTCCTTATGAGCCCCTTAAGTTCCCAAATGTGGTTACAATTTGGGTCATGAAGTACCATGACCCTCCAAGTGGGGCTAAGGAACTAAGTGGGCTGAGGGTTTCAGAGATAGCTGGGCTGAAAAACAGCTCCGGGACACCTCTGCTTCAAAAGTGGGCCCGCAAACTTCCCAACCTCTTGTAGAACTCTCAGCAAGTCTGCACAACCTGACCATGCCAGGGCTTGGACTTCTTGCACCCATAAACTTTGTGGCATCGGAAGTCGGATAGTGTAACCCTAAACCCTAAACCCTAAACCCTAAGCCCTAAACCCTAAACCCTAAACCCTTAACCCTAAAGGAACTCACAGATGGGCCCGGGGCTCGACCTGATGGAACCTTAAGCTGATGACGGCCGAAAGCGACAACCGCCACCCGAAGTCTGGCCTATTTCATCACTTGCAAGAGGTATATACCCAATGAAGGTTTAGGGTTTGTTTAGGGTTTAGGGTTTAGGGTTTAGGGTTTAGGGTTTAGGGTTTAGGGTTTAGGGTTTAGGGTTTAGGGTTTAGGGTTTAGGGCTTAGGGCTTAGGGCTTAGGGGTTAGGTCCCCTAAACCCTCCACCCTTGCCAGGAATGACCTCCAGGGCGTCCCCCTCAGAAGGCAGGATGAACAGTGAGCCTGGCGCCGGGCCTCGGCAGCGAGAGAAAGCGAGCGAGCGAGAGAGAGAGAGAGAGAGAGAGAGACAGAAACAGAGAGAGAGAGAGAGAGAAGGGGGCAGAGGGGGGAAGAGGGGGGAAGAGAGGGGAGAGAGGGAGAGAGGGAGAGAGGGAGAGAGGGAGAGAGGGAGAGAGGGTACCTGGACTACGTCGAGAATTCCTCGCAGTCTCAAAGGGGTCGGAAAGGGGAACTGACCGCACCCCCGTACACCATGAGGGTGTCTGGGCCAAAGCCAAGCGCCTTCAACCAGCAACTGGGCGGCACGTACCCATGCTTACCTCCATTTGCAAGAAAGTAACAGCGCTTGCCCACGCGGGGACCTCATTTGACTTCATCTGGGTCTACGGTTTAGGGAACCCTAAACCGTAAGCCCTAACCCCTAAGCCTCGTAATCAATGGGAGCCCAGGGGTGCCCATCCAACGTTTCTGGAAGTGATTGCAGAGTCGTTACTCTCAAGCTTCTAGTTCTTGCGGCCGGGGGTCAGAAAAAGAACACATGTCAGGCTTAGGGAATAGGATGGCGGGTAGGTTTCAAGCTATGATGGTTGTGTCCTTTGCGTGCAGGCTCGATCTTCAGGAGTTTTGTTTCGCAAGAGACTTGTTCAGGAGTTATCTCTCTCTCTCCGCCGCGCCATCCCCCAGGGTCTTGCTACGCAAGGGTACGGGAGTTACTCTACTTAGTTTCGCGTTGTGCTTACGATTTTGTCGGTTTTGTTTTTATTTTTTTTGGGGGGGGGGGAATTGAGCTTAATTCGTGGGAGCTCTTCGTTTGCAACCTGAGGGATCAGGGTGCAACGTTGGACGATGTTGTTCCTAGCAGCACATACTGTTCAATGAAAGGGCCCATGTTCAAACACGCCATTACTCTCCTCTTGCAGCCAGAAGCCCTAATTTTTGAGGCGTAGGCGTTGGTTTTAGGGGTCCCCAAACTCGAGAGACATGATCTCTGTTGGGGGCTCAAGGTTTTTGAGTTCCAAACTTGGGACGAAGTTCAACATCTTCAGGGGTTCAGGGTTCAGCTTAGGGCCTTCCCCTTCCCTCTCCCCAATCCGACTACCCTCCCAACCGCCCGCGCCCGCGACGGGCGGAGCCCCCGTTGCGCCTCCAAACGACTTCCCTTTGCCTTTGCCGCCTTTGCCCTCAGGTTCCTGGGCTAGGTTTGGGGGCCCGAAAAAAATGAAATGTTGATGGCTTTATAAGGATTATATATACGTGATCAAGGGAAAGAAACAATCAAAAACAAATGCTCAAACCTACCCCAGGTTCTTCTTCGGCTGAGCTGTCGGACAGGCAGTGGCCGCCTGAACCGAAACAAGAGACCCTGAAATGCAAGCCAACACGCACCAAGTACTACTATTTGCTTACGAACTCCCCCTAACAAAAAAAACACAAACATAATATTAATAAATAAAACTCTTCTTCCTAATACGGGTAACATAGAGATGACTATCCTTTTGTTTTTTTGTTTTTTTTTTTTGGGGGGGGTTCTTAGGCAAATAGTAGAGTAGCCAGCTCCATTTCTCTGGCTTCACATTTAACACCTTGGAGTCTTGTAGGGCTTAGGGGGGATGTCCTGCAGCCTGAAGGGATTCGGGTCTCAGGCTCATAACGTTGGGGCCTTAATATTTAGAATAGGGGTTGGGGGAGGATACTATTATAGCATAATTATTAAGGACTATCCGGGAATATTGGCCGTAATTTCCACCGACCCCTAAATTATGAGACGCATGTGCTTCTCAGCGCATCCAATGACACGCAAAACCGGGGTAGCCCAGTAAGCACCTTTTAATACGGGCACACTTTTTTCAGTTGGTGACTTTATAAGGGGACCTTGAACCAAAAAAGGGAAAAGGGTACCACTGGGCTACCAAGTCTACCTACATCTTGTTCTTGAGGACACGTTTGGCCTTCAGAAGCTCAAGGCTTACTGCTACGAATTGCTTCAGAAGCCCCAAAAAACATGAAACATTCTTCCTTACCAGGGCAATATAGGGATTATTAGTTTAGTTTTTGTTTGGGGGGGGGCTCTTAAGCAAATAGTAGATTGCCATTGTCGTCCCTGCCTTTGCCAAGCTTTCCTTTGCCCTTTGCATCCTCATCGTCGTGCTGACCTGCACCGCCAGGGCCGGAACCCCACTCCATGCTGTTAAACCCTACCCCTAAACCCTAAACCCTAAACCCTAAACCCTAAACCCTAAACCCTAAACCCTAAACCCTAAACCCTGAACCCTAACAGGGGATTACGGTCCATCCGCAGTCTCCCGAAGAGCAGCTTGCCCATAGCCTTTAAAGGGCCTAAAGAATACCACAGAATTTTCCTGCTAAGCTCTCCCGCGTTTGGCTGGACGACAAAGTCCTGTAAGGCCATGAACCGCGCAGGCTGCGCCATTAAAGTGCAAAATCGAGTCCGGACGCAGATATGTCGGAAAGCTGACCTCTGAGAAGGCAGAACCCTGAATCCTGAAGCCTAGAGCCCTTGGGAGGGTGTTGGGGGTTGCGTGCTGAGGGTTTACAGGGTGTTCAAGGCTGGCGGCCCTCTGCCTGCCTGTGGAATCAGACTCGCGCAGTATCAGAAGCAAGCCGGTATCGGGATCCAATCCAATAGCCCCTTCGCGCATCAACCTGCCATGGCGGGGAGCAGGTCACCGACATTGCCAAAGGCTTCAATACTTTAGGCCAAAACCCCAAAAACCCAAAACCCTAAACCCCCAAACCCTACGCCCTACGCGGTCTAAATGATTGCAGCAGCCGCTGAATCTCGAACGGCAATAGGTGGGTTAGAAGCACAGTTCCAATTGGGTTACAAGTACCATGAACCTCCAAGTAATCGATGTGTGATACTACCTCTGATCCCCGCCCTCTGCATGTTGAAATGCAATCACCGTAGTTCGTCTGCAACCCAGAGCCTGACAGAATGTCCGCGAGCCCCGCAACTCCCCACCCGCCACCCCACCCCCCCGCTTCCCCAATTTTTCCCAGGTTTAGGGTTTAGGGTTTACCTTGCATTGGCCTGTCTTCGGGCAGATAGCTGTAGTCACCATGATGCCTCGACCGGAAAAAGGACGGGATCGAAAAAGCAGCGAACATAGGGTCCGAAATAATTAGAAGAGGGTTTGGGGGTTATCATAGTACAAGTATATAGCGACCATAAGCGAGTACTATCAGAAAGTATTCCGATCCCTGTCTTATATGAACTATGTTTCCAGTTGGTGCCATGGTGAGCAAACTATCGAAGCAGCCTGACAAAGCGAAACAAAAACTTTACTGTTTGGCAACTTGCAGGTTCATGGTGCTTAAGAACCCAATTATAACTGTACATATAACCCAATTCTACCCACATTAGGGCACTGAAGGGGCTTCTAGTGGTATTGAGTACCATGAACCTCCAAGTTCCCGAGCATCTCACCAAGTCACACGTGCAACTCCTCCAAGTACCCTGCGGACTCGGGAAGTTGCGTCCACTTGACGGTCAGCTTTTTGTCGGCTTGGGGGACCCTGAGATATTCATTGCATGGGGCTTAGTGGGGTTCAGGGTTTAGGGCTGCATGGTGTTTGTTTAGGGTTTAGGGTTTCTGGTTTAGGATTTAGGGTGTACAACAAGGAGAGGGAACGCAACGTACTCACCCGGACACCTGACTGGTCTGCTACCCAAGGGGCTGCAGCAGCAACGTCGCGGTGACAGACTTGGCGGCCCCTGCTGCCGCATACCCGCCCTCGCCAAGCAAAGGATCCGAATCTTCAAGCATCCGGTCACCGACAAGGATTTTCTGTGTGGCAGGTGGCGGGCCAACCTTTCAACTTTAGGGTTAAGGGTTTAGGGTTTAGGGAACCAGAAACCCGAAAATGCAGCGGAAGGATGGCGAGGAGAGGGGCAGCGGTTATTCCAGTGTCTCATGCTCTATATTCTCATTTGCTAAGTTGCGACAAGCGGATCGGTGGATCCTGTCTCTTCACTAACCAAGCTCAAAAAATCAAAAGCCTGTTGAAACAGTCCTGGGGGCCTTCTGCTCGATCACGCTCTTCAGATCAGCGCAGTGTGCCGAGGGAGCCAGCAGGAACGTGCCAATCTCCTTTTCCATACCAGGGCCATTACACCCTTTAATCCCTTAACAGACCCTTTATAGGGTTCATTAATTCGGATTAAGGCCTAATAGCCCATCCTGGTACATGTTCAAGTCTTCCCAGACTTGCTATTGAATTCTTCAGGGTTTAGGGTTTGGCACGCGCTCTCTGCTAGCAGCCAAGAATACAGTGCATCGTGCAGGCAAGCATCCTGTCCCGCAGGTCCGAACACTGAAAATGCCACATCTTCAGCCATGTCTTGGTCCCTCCACTGGTCCTACAGTACTTGGAGGTTTAGGGTTTATAGGGTTTAGGGTTCAGGGCAACTATAGGCCACTTGGAGGTTCGTGGTACTTGATAACCCAAATTATCACTGTACTTCTAACCCGATTATAACCCACATTGGGGGAGTTTGGGGGCTTAGAAGCGGGTTATAAGCACAGTTATAATTGGCTTCTAAGTACCATGCACCTCCAAGAAGCAGGCGAGCGGCTGCAGCACGAGTGAAATCCCAATCCCTTCCCCTAACATTCATACCCTTCATATTAAATCCCCCTGGCCCGAAAACCTCCAATTGAAACCTCTACCGAATTAGGGGGGTTAGGGGGGGTTCAGAAACCTGAAGCCTGAACTCTTCAGTTGCCCCGAAACCTGTATGGTTTAGGGCTTAGGGAAGGACTAGGGCTGTTGGTTCGGACAAGTAACCCCTTCGGAAATTTGGGATGCTTTTTTTCAAGGGACGGGGGTCAGGGGGAAGGGATTCGTGCAACCTCTGCAAATATTATCTGTTGGGCCATGGGTGGTAGAAGCTTCTTGCTTGAACCTCGCGGCTCGTCGGAGGAGGTCAACACTTTCATCATGACCCCGCAGACAGCACTTCTCGCGATGCTCATGCGAAGCTTGCTGCCACCTTCTGCCCCTTCCCTTGCAACATGCCCCCAAAACACCATGGAGACCCGATGTGCTCCAGAGACCCGAGACTACCTCGACGCTACACGACCCCTAAACCCGATAAACCCTAAACCCGGATTATGTCAAGCCAACTCAAGCAACTGCCGCACACTGCAAGGCCAAGGCTGCAAGGCCTACGTATCTTAGGGGCTGAATACCCTAGCCCAACAACGGGTTGAACCCTAAACCCTAAACCCTAAACCCTAAACCCTGAAAGCACAGAATTCTCGCACACTCTGCCTGGGCGATGAGGGCGTGGATGTGATCCCGGCTCGCTGCCGGAGCCTTCACTGCTTCGTGTAGAGGTTTAGGGTTTAGGGTTTAGGGAAAGTATTGGAATGTTCCCCCTGATGGTAACAGTCCTTGATAGGGAGTATAGTACCCCGATTATATTCCCTATTGAGGACTGTTAGTATAAGGAAAGAAAACATCCCAAGGTAAGTAGCGCAGTATGTGAAAGGGCATCCCGCGCAGGTTTACACCAGTAGCTGAAGGTGGCCTCCAGAAAGCGCTGGAACGCAAGGAGGCACACCACCTGAACACGGGCTAATCTCAAACCCTAAACCCAAGACCCTAAAATTTCCCAGGTGGGCCGTAGTCGAGGTTGGGGAGAAAATCTTTGAACCCTCAGCCATTAAGGCGTGTATTTGAAGGGTGTTTTGTTCAAAGGATGGGAAGGAGCTAGGGATAGGGGACGGGTCTGGGGAGAGGCCTGGGGCACAATTTGGGATTCGGAGCTGTTGAAGTTGAGGGTGAAGGAATTGAAGGGCTTCTGTTTGATTTGCTGATCCGAAAAGTCTCGCCAACTATCCTGAAATACCCCCTAAACCCTAAACCTAAACCCTAAACCCTAAACCCTACAAGCCTTTAGTGTCGTTCGGCTCGGCTCGGAGGCTTGCTTGAGGTGTGTGATTCAGGGACTTCGCAGCGCAACCAACCACCAACTTCTGTTCAACATGTCGCAAGGGTTTGGGCTCAGGGTTCAGGGTTCAGGGCTCAGGGCTCAGGGATTAGGGCTTAGGGTTTAGGGTTAGGGTTTCCCGAATCTACGCCTCGAAGAGAGATTGTGTCTACTTAGTCCATTTTCTTCGGCCGCGTGGGATGGGGATCAGGTCTCCAGGTTGCCTCCTTGGGGAATGGTACAAGGAGGGGCCCCCTTATTATCCTAACTGTTGTTAAAGGACTTATCACCTACTTTAGGATCCTTACACTGCAACTTAGGGTTCTTATAATTCTACTTATAGCTAGGGGGGTCAATGCAGCAGCCTGTCGTTCGGATATTCATGGAACCCTTGAAACCCAAAGCACGGCGCTCTTTTCTTGCAGCCCCTTTTGGACGTGGTAGGGCAACGCGACGAGGCCCTTCTCACAGGTTTGGGGTTGAGGGCTTCACAGTCACCATTCCCACAGGCCTACAAGCCTTAAACATGAACAGCTCAGACCCCAAACCTTACAACTAACATCTCGTGGCTGCGCACAGCGACTGAAGCCTGTGTCAGCGGCCTTTATGTGGGCTTAGGCAGATGATGCAGTTGCCTTTAACAGAACTTGGAAGATGACCTTGCATCTCGGATGTTGGAAGTTGAGACTTGGGCGGGTTAGTCTGGCGAGTTGCATACATGGGAGCCGTGAGAAGGGCACCATCTTGCACTTTGCAAGTTGCGCGAAACGCAACGTCCTCCCGAACAGCGGTAGGGACGCAGGCTCTCACAGGCCGTGCTGCGCAGCGTACCGAAACACATGATTGGGCGCCGGCACACGTATTGCAGCACAGGCCAAAGGAACTGGATAGTCATGAGGCTTGAGGTACGGTTGCTAGCTAGGACATTGCCAAGAACGGCCTCGTGACCACTAAGCTAAGCGAATTAGTTGGGAGCTTCGCACCCCGCCCTTTGCACTTCGCAGCCGTGTCGGTGCTGGCGATTGTGCTGGCCAGAGGAAAGATCGTGTACGGCGAAGTCTCCGAAGTTAGCCGAACTTTTCTGTTAGGGTATCGGGACAACTGGGGTCTCGGTTAAGCAAGGTCTCGGCTCAGGGATATGTCAACCTAGGGCTGATCTTGAATCATTACAGACGAATCGCCTAGTGCTGGCACGGCATCAGTCCAGATCCGACACTTCTCCACACTCCGCAGAGACGGTGGAGGCAAAAGACGGTTGGCGAAACCTCCGAATAAAACCTCATTCGTGTTGAAAGAACCTGTAGTAATCAACCTCCCGATCTTCCACTCAAACCCAAAAGCTGTTGCAAAGCGATCGAAAGCCTGACCTCCTCTTGCCCCAATGGCCTTTGTTCTGATCTCTCCCAATATGCCCGCCTTTGATGCATCTTCTTGCTTTCCTTGGGGACCCAGGGGTTAAGAACAACATGCTCCGGGGTATGTTAAGGGTGAGTATTGGAGCTCAAGGGTTGAGATGTTGACACTTTACAAATTGGGTTTAGGGTTACAAACCAAACCCAAGCCTCCAACGCTCCCCACTGCGCCTGTTCCAAAGCTTGGTGCGCTGCCCAAAACCCTAAACACCTGGGCTCTGAAGTACTGCCAGGAAGCAGGCCCTAAACCCTAAACCCTAAACCCTAAACCCTAAACCCGAAATACTAGAACCTTAACCCTGCCCAAAGGTTTCTCACTTTCCAGGCTTCAGCAGGTTCAGGCGATCTGGACAACTCGGGGGAGCAACGAGGCCTCGGCTGGGGATGATTTGGGCCTTGGTACCCCAAACCCTAAACCCTAACCCCTGCCTAAACCCCAAACCCTAACCCTAAACTAACCTTTTTTGGCACCCACAGGGGCTTGCGCTTAGGGTAATCTTATTTCTCGAGATAGGGCACCCCCTTCTGTACCATACCCCCAAAAAGACTGGGATTGACACAAATGTCCTCGGGCTATTGAAGTACATCTCGCGCCCTTGTTCGGGCAAATCGAGAACAGCAGCTGAGCATTCAATTGCAAGCAAGTACCAGACCGACAGATCTGACCACTCACCTTCTGCGGTGAGCAATACGCAGAGTTATCGGTGTTTTGTTGACGCTTCGTAAGGGGGAACATCCCAATGTGTCCACCTTAAATATTCTACACCCGCTGCAAATGTCATGTTACCGCCATTTCCGGCCCTGGCTTGTGGGCATTGTCGGCCCCAATAAGGTGTAGGTTTATAGGGCTTAGGGTTAATCCGATGCAGTAGGAACCCCCTCACCCACCCACCCACCACCCCCGCGCCCAAAAAATGAGACCCAAACCCGTTTGTAGAATCCATTTCTCGATATTCATTTATAGTCATAATTTTGTCGGTCCTTTATAGTACCACATCATAAAGTGCGCGACAAGTAGTGAGAAATACGGCACAAACAAGTAAGCAGGCGAACTGTTTTTACTACTCGTGCATACATAACGTAACGACAGTGAAGCATGTCTATATACATATACACACATTTTTCCTGGATGCAAACTCCATCAGGAACCTACCCCCCAAGCCCTAAGCCCTAAACCCTATAAACCCTATAAACCCTACAAACCCTACAAACCCTATAAACCCTGTAAACCCTATAAACCCTATAAACCCTAAACCCTAAACCGAAGCTTCATCGGTGCGGCTTGGCAGCGCTTTTGGCCGTGATGATGTGCCTCCGACAGCTCGCTCAGGTCGTGCGGCATGGAGGCCCACACGACCTTCGTAGTTTAGGGTTTAGGGGGCCCACACGACCTGGGTGGTTTCCTAGATTAGTCCCTGTTGAAAAGGGATCCCAAAAAAGGACCCTAATTTAGAGAACTACCCACCTGACTATGTGATTAGAAGAGGACAGTGGGGGGGCCCGAGCCCTTAGCTGGGTGGATCTTAGGTCGAAGTTGTGGCTTCTGGCCCATGGCGCAAACAGCAGCCAAGGGGGAGGATGCACAAAAACCACAGGCGCTGGATCCCAGAAACTCTCGACCTCCCCAAATCCTCAGAAAGTGCTCGCACCCTAAAACCTTGGAAAGCCCTAACGTCAATGAACCCTCAAAGTCTGAAAGTCCCCTAAACCCTAAACCCTAAACCCTAAACCCTAAACCCAAAGCCCAAAACCCTAAACCCTAAACCCTAACCCTAAACCCTAAACCCTAACTCCGCAAAGCTTAATCCAAGGCCCCTGCTGACCGGCGTAGCGGGCGGACCTGCAAGAAGAACCCCCCAAGACTGCGCAGCCCTGGAAGCCTGGGTTTACAGTTTTAGGGCTGAAAGAGCGTAAGTCAGGAGTTTAGGGTTTAGGGTTTAGGGTTTAGGGTTTAGGGTTTAGGGTTTAGGGTTTAGGGTTTAGGGTTTAGGG